ACGGAAGCTCCACAGTATCGGACTGGACATACTACAGGGATTGGCAGACCAAGTCGAGCGCGAAGTCAAGAATGCCCTGAAGTTCGACATGAGAGCCAGATCGCGCAACTTCATGATCTGGCTCACAGACACCACAACAGCCACCCCAGGCAAGTTACACAAGATAACCAAGCCCCAACAGCGACACGAGGAAGAGTACGTTCACGTCCGAGGCAAGGCATGCTGCCCGCGTACCATCATCGACGCCAAGACCAACGAGATCAGAGAGCTCTGGCAGCACCCAACGCTCACGCACCAGGACTACGTCGCCACCATCTCCTATGTAAAAGACAATGCCAGCACAGCCCCACCCACGAACTGGACCATAGACGACCTGGGCTACTCACTGCGATGCCCCCCCCCCCCCCCCCCCCCCCGACAAGGGCAAGGGCGTCGAGCAAATCGCAAGCCCAGACCTGCGACGAGTCCCGCAGGCTGGGCGGCAACAGCTGGTGGACCTGTTCAACAGCTGCGAGCGCGAGCTCGCTTGGCCATGGCAGTTACTGAGCACCACCATCATGCTACAGCCAAAGACAGAAGGGGACAGGGAACTCGGGCTGTTACCGCAGATATGCAGGGATTGGGAGAAGCTCACAAGGCCAACGGTGGACAAATGGGTACGTATTGCAGGTCGGCACGGGGGCGCGGCCCTGGCAGGTAGCAGCTGCCTGCGGGAGGCAGCGGCACGCGTCCTGGGCGACGAGATCTGCGACGCACTCCAGCTCGCCCGCGCCGCCACATTGGCCGACATCAAAAGGTTCTACGACACACTGGACAATTCTACAGGTGGTGTACGCGACCAGGCACATGTGGTTCCCTCCACAGATACTGGCGCTTGAGCTGCAGCTCCGCACCTTCGTGCGCTTCCTGCGACAAGTCTCGACATACGGACAGCCAATCCTGCCCCCACGATCCCTGGTGGCAGGATCACGGCACGCGAACAACCTCGCCAGGGCAGTCCTGTACCAGGCACTGCACCGCATGCACTACCACGCCCCAGCGGTGATGGCCAGAGCCTGGTTTGACGACGTGGAGCCCAGTGCGACTGGAAGCAAGCAACGAGCCGCCGACGCCATCATCCAGGCAACTACCACGTACGCACGCTGCCTGAGCGAGCAAGGACTCGAGATGGCCGACAAGAGTGTGGTTATCAGCAACGACATGGGCACGACGCACTCCATCTGCATGCAAGTGCGACAACAGGGAATCCACATCAAGGCGGCGACCACTGGCCGAGACCTCGGACTGGATCGGGCAGGGCGTGCGCCAACGAGCAGGCCAACACATAGCAAGTGACGCCGACAAGCAGCAGGGCGCCTACGAAACATAGCGCTGAAGCTACGCCGACTGCGAGCACAGCGCAAGGGAGCATTGATCACGCAAGATCTCATGGCCTCATACCTCTACGGACGCAGAGTGCACGGTGAAGCGCCGACAGCCATTACGACAGCAAGACGTCGGTGCGCCAGGGCGCTGGGGAAGCACTGATCGGGCAGATGCCTCCACACCTACCTCGCCCTGGCGGGCGCGGACCCAGCTACAGCCATCCTCAGAGGGGTAATGGACACATGGTTCGACGTCTGGAGCCGACGCGGCCACCTGCACCAGGAAGCCCACCAGGCATGGCCAGTTACCTACCAGCATCTCCACAACGTACCCCCCATCTACCGATGGAAGCAGAGGAGAGGCCTCATTGGGACGGTCATACTATCATTATGGGAGATTGGTTGGGACGCAGCATCCCCAACAGAGTGGATCGACAACCAGGGCAACTTGTGGCAGATGGGAGATGACGACCACTGTGGGGACCCTGCCGACGTGATCCACGCCATATTGGGACGCACACCAGCTCCAGCCCTTGGCCAAGGCAGCGAACCACTGGCTTGGAAAAGGCTGCGAGTTGGGCATCGACACATACGACCTCAGCACACAATTACGCAAGTTACGCAGACAAGGCAAGTACCACGACGCAGGAATGTTTCAAGCAATAGCTTGTGCAGCGATGTGGACGCCAGAGCGCAAGCACCATACCTTCGACAACACGGGCACCAAATGCGAATGTGGATTGGTTTGCGACGATCTACACAGAGTATGGGGCACCTGCGCAGAGCGAGACGAGGACCACGAGGATTACGTGAAGACCAACATGGGAGTGGAC